TTTTTTTAAGAATATGAAAGAAAAAAGTTACCCTTCAGCTCAGTAAAGAGTCCGGTAAAGCCTGGAGCTGGGGCTTAAATGGCATTCCTCCTTAGCATCTATGTGGAAGGGAGACTCCCCATCAAAAGAGGAATCCTGAGCTAAATCTTCAGTTCAGCGCATTGAACCAGTGTGTCCCAGGGACAGTAAGGCCTTTTGCTGTTTTGTTTGCTTTTGTTGTTTTGAGACAAAGTTTCACTAAGAATCTCTGGCTGGCCTGGCACTCACTAGGCAAACCAGGTTGACTGGCCTCAAACTCCCAGAGCGCCACCTGTGTCTGCTTCTGGAGTGCTGCGGTTAAAGGCGGGCATCACCCCCACTTTTGTTGTTGCTGTTGTTTGTTTGTTTGTGGTTTTAAGTAAGATAACAGCAAAATTGAAAGGAAGGTACAGAAATCTCCCGCATGCCTTCTGCCAGCAACATCCCATGCTACCACTACCCCTCACTTGAATGGCATCAGCTGCAGTCACCCCAAGTCTGCAGGTCATATTGGAGCTCACTCTGTGTTGTACATGTGCGGGTTTGAGTATGGATTCAGACGAACAAGAAGCTTTTTCGCCAAGACTCTTCCCTGGTTCTGTGGAAGAGCCAAGAGGAATTTAAAATAAGAGAAAAGCACTGTCTCATAGTGACATAGTCAAATATTACAATATTTGTCGCATGCTAGATTTGAAACTATTAATCATTTTCATTCAGTATTTATCTCAGATGCCAACCTAACTCAGCATCCCCTGTTGCATCTGCTGAATAGAGCCTGTGACAAAGCTGTGTGGCCACCAAGTCTGGAAAATGGGGAGATTTCTCTTAAGAAGGTTGAAGGTGCTAGAGCCAAATTTTGCCCCTGGAGTATTGGTTCAGGTCTTCACAAGGCTCTGATAATATGAAATTGTGTCACGGGTAAATTCGCAAGTTTCTGAAACCAGGAAACTTGACTTCTTGCAACGGCAACGTCTTACTGTTAACGTCTGTGGAGTTCTTGTGTTTCGTCCTCCCTTTTGATTACTCTCCAGCTAATTAGTAATCAATCTTAACTTCTATCCTCCCGGGTTCCTAGCTTCATGATCTACTTAGGAAATTTTAAACAGAGTCAAAGGCCCCATAGTGTGAGTCCTTTGTTAAACAGAACCCTTTTTAAGAAGTTAAAAGCACCGTTGTATTTTAATTAGTCACTTCAAATATATCTATTTTAGAAGTTTGGGTTTCTAATTAAGCATTTTTACAAATATAAGAAAAACTAAAGTTTTTGTAACTAAACACAGACACACTGTATTTTCTCCTCGCTAATTTCACTATTTGTGAAATAAATAACAAAAAGCACACTCAGATCATTTTGAAAATAAACAGTTTTCCATATTATTAAAGCAGGATAATTTAAGGAACTGATGTCTTTCTAAGAAAACTCCCTAAAGGAGGTGCCCTGAAAAAACATTTCTAGGGAAATAATAGGAACCAAGCACCCTCTTCGGGTCCAGCCTCTGGAAATGTGTCTGGTCCTCCTCTTACAGAAGACGTGCCTGAGAGGCCATAGGACTAAGCTTCGAAGGGAGGCAGGGGAAATGATCTTTCTCCTCTCAGGTCTAAAGTATCCATGCTGCTCAGGGCTTCACCAGTTCCCCCCTCCCCCCTCAAGATCTGAGTTATTTTAGAGCCTTTCATTTCATGAAGACGCAGTTTTCCATAGAAGCCATAGTATCATCTTAAAACTTTTCTTTTTCCCCTCCAAAAGTGACCTCATTCTGTTATCAGGGCCTCCTGGTTCAGAGTTCTACCCCAGTTGTTTACACTCCATCAGTTCCTGCCGGAGTGGATCTCAGGTTTGAGGTCCAAATGGGCACAAAGCAAACGCGGGCCAAGCTAGACTACAAGGCAAGAACCTGTCTCAAAACCAAAAAACAGAAGCACATACAGTTTCTGCATGATCGCATTGCTATCCTCTTAGAGGCCACAGAGAACGAACGGAAAAGAAGACCAAGTTAGATGGTGTTAGCGCGCAGGGAATTACAGCAGAGGCAGAAGAATGGGGTGGAGGGTCTAGAGGCTTGGGAGGAGTTGCATTTTCAACAAAGAGGTCAGCCAGTGACTGAGTCTGTCACCATCAAGGATATACTTAAAGGCGATGTCAAAGGGGTATATGGTGCTGTGAAGGGCAGTGGCCCAGGCAGAGGCAGCCCTACAAAGGCTCATGTTTAAGCTGTATTTCTTGGTCTGGGTGATTTAGATCCTAAGGACATTTGGCCAAGCCTAGAGACATTTTCATCATCTTGTTATGAGGATGGAGAGTGGTTCTATAGCTTGGGTTTCTGTTGCTGTGCTAGATATCTGGCTGAAAGGGTTTACTTCTTCTCATAGGTTATATTCCATCACTGAGGGGAGAAAGCGAAGCAGAAACTAGGGGCAGGAACTGAAGCTGGGACCACGCAGGAACTCTAGTTACTGGCTCGTTCCTGGCTCGCTTTCAGGCTCACCTTCAACTTCCTTTCCTATATCACTCAGCCCTGCCAACCCACCCCCACCCCCACCCCCACCCCCCATCTAGGGATAGTTCTGCCCACAGGATGGGCCTTCCTATATCAATTCACACAAAAAAAAAAAAAAAGAAGGAAGGAAGGAGGAAGGAAGGGAAGGGGAGGGAAGGGGAGAGGAAAGGAAAAGACCCACAGATATGCCCACGGGCCAGACTGATAGAGGAAATTATTCTAGTTGAGGTCCTTTCTCCCCAAGTGTGTCAAGGTGACAACCTACATTAGCCATCATGAACTGAGCAGAGGCAAGGGACTCAGCTAGACATCCTGTGGATAAGACAGCTTCCTAAAGCAAGGAATGCCCCATCCCTCAAATGCCAGCAAACATTGGGAAGGGAGAATGAATACAAGTTGATTTGGTCAGAGATGACTAAGCCTGGGCACAGCAGAGGCCGGGTTAGGTACAGTCTTTCTGCCAGTCGGGGCTTCGGCTCTTAGATGAGGGCAACAGCAAACCTTGAAGCACTCTGGGCAAACAGGGCAAGTGATCTGAGTTAAAGAGTTTACCACTGACTGGGAAGCAGATTGCAGAGTGGTGAGGGCAGCTGGGACGCTAGCTCAGCTGATAAGGAGCATGCTATGAAGACATGAGCCTGAGTTCAACCCCCAGAAGTCGCATAAAAACCCATGACCAGAGACATGCCTGCAGTCCCAGCCTGAGGGAGGTGGAGAAGGTAGGGTCCCTGTGTCCTGCTGGCCAACCAGGGTAGCCCTGTGAGTTCCAAGTTTAGTGAATCATATCTCAAAATAAGACAGAGAGCAACTGAAGGAGGCACATGTGCTGACTTCTTGACTCCACATACTTGCACACATCTGTACACAAATGTGTACACATATATACACACACACCCCCAAAAGAGATGGAGGTGGCTAAGAGATGCAGCTCAGGTAAAGGGTTAGCAAGAGATAAATGAACCTAAGTCAGTACTGAAGCAGTTTGTCACTTAGAGTAACTGAGCCATCCAATGCTAATTTTCACAAAACAAACCACAGTGTACTTTTGATTCCAGTTTTCCCAGTCTTTTCGTTATTTTTAACACACTGAGGGTGTGCGTGTAAAATATAGTAGTGGAGCTAGGCACTTACCTAGCACCTCTTGCACACACCCATGCATGTTACATACATGCACATACAGAGAGAGAGAGAGAGAGAGAGAGAGAGAGAGAGAGAGAGAGAGAGAGAGAAGTCACATTAGCTGGATTTCATTTTACACAACAGGATTCTTGCTACATTTTAACCATTAGATAAGTAATGTTTATGATAGAATAATCTGAGGTAGAATAGACACAATGTAATCTTTCTGAGCTTGCCAAAATGGAAACCACCTACTCTTCCTAACAGCTTGTAAGCCACATATGACCCAAAGCCTACTGAATTGCCTGGAAAGGGATGAGAGGACCATAAAAGCTTAATACCTGATTTAAAGGGGGGCTAGGTTCCCCCTCTACTTGGTGTGAATTAAATCATTCCATGACTATTTCCCCCTTAGTTCCTCATCCCAGGTAAAATGAGCTACTCAGAATCTCAGATTGTAAATCCATGTCTTCCCCAGAAGTCTCAAACATCCTGGTGTGCTCTCCTCTTTCCTCCATTGGGGTCTCTTTTCCTGTTTGTAACCTCACAGTGGGGTCCCTGTGGCAGCTGCAGCCATAGCTGGCTTCACCCCTGGACCCAAGCCTGCATCTGTCCCCAAAATCCTCTCCTTTATATTCAAATCATTCTATTTTGTTGTTGTTGTTAGAATTGTTCCATTTGTTTGTCAGTAAAATACAAATATAATCTGCCCTTCTGTTTCCTTAGGTTTGGGGGATGGGTTTTTAAATGGAGTTGAGTTTTAAAGATATTTGTTTGCTCTGTCTGAATCTGGTCCTACTAAGTCAGGCAGAGTCAGGGTAAACTTATAGCAAAGTAGCAAAGTCAAAAGACATCACGTTTCCCCAGCCTCTAATTTCTCAGTTTGCTTTGATACTCGTAAACACCAGAATTCTGCAACAGCTTGAGAAAATGCAAGCGCCTCCATTCCTCCCCAAACCAGGGCACCCAGGTGTCTGCATTTCAGAGAGCATTTGAGAGGGTTTCTTTGAATGACAGCTGTATTCAAGACTATGAAACAGGACCTTAGATGCCACCCTGGTCTCAGCCACCTGTCTACTTGCTTAACCTGGCAGACGTCATTCAGACAAATAACTCACCCTTAAAGCTTTGTTTCCTACAAGGAACCATGTTAACACTCTTCTCTTTTTGACACCAATATTTCGCAAAGTGTTAGACAGCACATTTTAGCCTCTGCTTCTAGGGACCACTACAAACGCTTAGCATAAACGGATGATCACTTTGCTGGGGGTACAATTCTAGCTAGTTCCAGGGACGCTTTGGTTCAGAAGACTGCCTGAAATGATCGTTGTTGTCTCATGTGATGTTTTCTGTTTTGTTGAACAGCCAATATGCCTGAAGATTATCCTGACCAGTTTGATGACGTCATGGATTTTATTCAAGCCACCATTAAGAGACTGAAGAGGTCACCGGATAAACAAGCGGCGGTGCTTCCTCGCAGAGAGCGAAATCGGCAGACCGCAGCTGCCAGCCCAGAGAATTCCAGAGGGAAGGGTCGCAGAGGCCAGAGGGGCAAAAATCGGGGCTGTGTCTTAACTGCAATACATTTAAATGTCACTGACTTGGGTTTAGGCTACGAAACCAAGGAGGAACTGATCTTTCGGTATTGTAGCGGCTCCTGCGATGCGGCCGAGACAATGTATGACAAAATACTAAAAAACTTATCTCGGAGTAGAAGACTAGTGAGTGACAAAGCAGGCCAGGCATGTTGCCGACCGGTTGCGTTCGACGACGACCTGTCGTTTTTAGACGATAACCTGGTTTACCATATTCTAAGAAAGCATTCCGCTAAACGGTGTGGATGCATCTGACTCCGGCTCCAGAGACTGCTGTGTATTGCATTCCTGCTACAGTGCGAAGAAAGGGACCAAGGTTCCCAGGAAATGTTTGCCCAGAATGGAAGATGAGGACCAAGGAGGCAGAGGCGAGAAGGAAGCAGAGGGAGAGGAGGAAGAGAAGGAGGAAGGCATCCATCGTGGGAGCCTGGTAGAAGAAGGCCCAGCTACAGACAACTGGATAGGAGTGAGAACAGCCGTCTGAGCACTCCAGGATGGCAGGTGAGGTCACCAGAAGCTCAAGGCTGGTGTCCCTGCTTAGCTGTTGCCAGCATTTAACTGACACAGTCCATGGTCACCGATTGCGGTCCGAGTCGCCGATGCATGCAGAGAACCAAGCCAGTGGTTCTTGCTCACGTGTCTGAAGACACCAGGGAAATGTCTGATTCTGGTGTCACCTCTTGTCACTACATTTTCTGATGAAAATAAGAAAGATGTATTTTCCTGTCACTCAACGGATTCACACCCTAGAAAGGAGGGGGGGAACAAAAGCAGAGGTACAAAGAGATCATAACGTTTGGATTTGAAAACCGAGGCCTGAGGTTGACTACATCCAGCATTTGGGGGTGGGGGGACACTTGGTGGTTGAATTTGAACACAGTGTACGGGGTAGGGAGAAGTTGGCTAGGAACCCAAAAGGCTGTCCACCTGCTTAAAAACAAACCAGAAGGCATTTTCTTGATGTCCTCGGGAACAGGAAGAAAGCTGTGGTTTTCGGCAGCATCCTCGTAGGAGAGCTAGTGGGGAAGGCCCCCAGCTGCCCCCCCCCCCCCCCCCCCCCCCCCCCCCCCCCCCCCCCCCCCCCCCCCCCCCCCCCCCCCCCCCCCCGCCAGGGAGACCCCCGGGGCCTGTTGGTTTACAGAGACTGACGTTACATACACAGCTCCGTTTATGCGTGGTCACCAGTGACCAGAGAAGCTACTCGATGCAATGCATCTGTTTCAGATACAGAGATATAGAAAAGATATTTATTAAGATTTAAGTTATTGTTATTTATTACCATTCACTAATGAATTTCTCTCTTCTTCCCTTATTTATTAAAGTCTCTTTTCAAAGGTGCCAAAGTATATGTGCTCACAAAATACAAAAAAAAAAAAAAAAAAAAAAAAGGTAACAAAAGGAAGTATTAATTGGGAACAAGGGTCCATCCATACTCTTCAAAGTATTAAAAGGGTTTCCACTGGGCAAAAAAATCACTTACTTTACCTTTATAAGACAACCCCTCATTAAATGACCCAGGTTTCCCCCGTTTTGTGGACAGGCTCTCCTGTGGCTTAGGCTGACCTTGAACTTACTGCTTGGTCAAGGATGACCTTGGCTTTCCGATCCTCCGACTTGCTGTGGGGTTCAGAGCTCAGACAACTCACCCCATCTCTGCTCTAGGCATGGGAATTCAGGGCCTCATCCGGGCTAGGCGACTCTAGCAGCTGAGTTACACCCTGTTAAAGGAGCATCTCAGCCCCGCCCCCTCACCTGCAGTCCCAGTGCCGTTGCCACTTGGCGGCTCCATTTCATCCCTGCCCCATCACTGAGCAGAGAGGCCGCAAGCTCCGCTTTCCTTCCACATGTGTGACATCATAACCACATACACAGAAGGATGAATTCCCCTTGGTCGTCCTGGACTTGCAGTCACCTAAAAGTGAAATGAAGGACCTGCCAGGTAGCCAAGGTTTAGCCCTGCCGGATGGCACCTCTGCCTCCATTCTTGCCCACCTACCTCCTCCCTGAAGGCACACAGGCAGAAGCACATGGGGAATCTCGGAGGGAGAAGTCATCAGCCTTGTCCTTTGCCAGATCTGTGGTCATCTGGGGTCAACATTTGTGATCCCTTCCAACCCAACGAGTTCTAGGAAGAAAGGTTGACAGAAAGAGGCCACAGGACATAGGAGGCCCACCCTCATTGTGTAGAGGGGAGGAAGTAGATGGGAGAATGGCACCTCTCACTGTCCCCATAGTGTACCTGTCTAGCTGGCATACAGGTCATGCCTTGAGTCCTATGTTAGAGCTTGTTACAAATTTCATAAATGGAATTTTATGCAGAAATTAATTAATCACTTCCTTCGTAGCTGCTACCCCCCAAAGTAGGACCAATTGGCCTATCTCAAATAATCATGTTAAAATTTCAAAGTAACCAAGAGGTAAAAGTTGCTGGACATCCCACTCCCTGACCCATGGCCCTAAAGACCCAAGTTATCCATGGTTCCACACCCTCTGCAGGACTGGGAAATGGAGGCAAAGGCTGCACTCTCAACCTCTCCTGCTCAAAATGGTGATGCCCTCAGCTGCCTGGCATGATTCAGATGCATTTCAGGATCTTCTGTTCAATTCTGAGAATCCTGGTAGACATGGTAGCTGATATTCCCAGGTCCAGACACAGCCTTCAGCTCTCGGGGGAGTCTCTGCTCAGTATCATCTCCACACTGCAAGCAGGTTCTAATGGGAGCAAGCTGCTCCGCCTAGTCCACAGAAGGGTAAAGTTGGTGATTTTTTTTTCATTATTGTTGTAATCACCATCTAACACAGTAAGGAGCACGCTTCTTTGGAAGTTCTGATCTCCCTGATCTGTCTCGGTCGTTTGTGTTATACAACCAAAGTTCTCTACAGACTTTATTTTTGTACAATATCATTTTGTAACTTTTTACAAATAAAAGCTCATTTCTACTGCTTCCTGTACCTTTGTATTTATTTCCTCCAATGCCAGTGGACTCTGGCTGGGCCAGGCAGGTATCAGATATTGATTGAGAGCTGTGCCCTTCATCACCATTCAGTGCCGTGGTTGGTCAATGACCACGCTCATCAACTCCTCATAACCAGTAACTACTCAGGTGAGGGAAGGCTTGCAAAGTTGTTCTTCATTTATTCATTCAACAAATATTCATGGGGTGCCTACAGTGTGCCAGGCATCATACAGAACACTGGAGATTCAAAAGTGGCAGGCAGTGAATAGATAAATAGATTTAAAAAAAAAAAAGTAAATCCTTGGTCTTGGAGAACTGAGATTTTGTTTGGAGGAAGACATGGTATTCAATATTGTAGTGACCTGTATGATGGGTATTACCAAGAATGCAAGCAGAATACTGGAATCAAAAATAACAGTAGAGCCCACTTAGAGGTGACCTTGGGACTAAATATAAGAAGTTGTGTCAACCAATCAGAAGCATCCCAGCAGAAACAGCAACTTACGCAAGACCCTGAGGCAAACAAGAGCCTAGACAGAGTCCCTGATACTCCATGGCAAAGTAGCAGAATTGTTCGAACTGTGCACATAGCTGTAGCTTACTGCATTCTGGTGGGAACAGACTAGAGAGGACCTGCGATCTTCCTGGACTGAATGAAAGGAGTAGATCACACACACACACACACACACACACACACACACACACACACACACACAATTTGGTATATTTGGGCATTGTGGTTTCTGGCTCACCAAGAAAAACAAAACAACCAGTGGCCAACGTTGGAAATTCAACCACATTCAACCAAGAAGAGTGAGTGTGTTGAAAGCTGGGAAATCCTTAAAAATCAAAAGGGGAGCTTTCACCATCCCGTGTGACTCTCTCACCAGGGTCATGCTGCCCCAGTCTGGCAGCCGCCTCCCTCACAGGTGTGGTCCGCAGACAGGAGCTGCTCTCCCTGGCACCAGGCTCTTCAAGTTCACATGGCTTGTGATTTTAATATCTGAGGAGGGTTTTCTCCAGTGTTGGGCAAGGAATCTAGGGTGAGTGCCAAGTGAAGCAGGCTTCAAAATAAAGGGTCCACTCCTGCAGGGCGTGGTGGCATGCGCCTTTAATCTCATCACTTTCTGAACCTGAGACTGGAAACAAAAAGAGCATCTCCTATACAGATTCTGTTTGAGCCACAACCGGTTCACTCTGGAAGCAGAATCCCCCAGAAAAGGGAACCTGAGACGTGGCCAGCACCGCCACATGGTCCACCCTTGCAAATGGCAGAGAGGGACTCAGGTCTCAGCCAGGAGCCTCTGGCTTTTTTCCACTGGGTGATGACTGTTGAATCCTGAGTGTCTTGTCGAGACACGTTAGCAGGATTGCTACTGTAATCCCACGCAATAGTTAACTCATCTTCAGCCTTAGCCACACGACATCCTGAATGAAATTAAAACCAAATGCCGCCAAGTCATCCCTGAAAATAAACAGAGAGTTGGGGAAATAAGGGAAAACACACACTTAGTCACACATAACCACTCATGCCCGGCCACAGCAGGTGATTGTAATGGAGATGGGACTGAAGACTGGGGGCTTGAGGGCAGCCGGCAACACTCCCCAGGAGGTACACGATGACAGAAGTAGGTAGAAAGCGCCTTGACAGGAGCAACAGGTAAGACGAGGGGCAGAAAGAAAGACACCATGGAATAGCCTTCTTGGATAAAATACAAGCAGGCTGTCCTGCTAAAGCTTAATTCAGGTAAACACACAATTTCTTAGTATAAGCATGCCTCCTCCTATTCTGGGATATGTGATGTATAAAACATACTCACTAAAAATATGGGTTATTTACCTGAAATTAAGTTTAATTAGGTGTCCTCTAGTTTAATTTGCTGAGTCTGGCAAGAGAAAATGGCATTGTAACGGTCTGGGTAGGGCAAGGCAAAGAGTGAGGCAGAGGCTGCGCTGGACTGGGCTGGGAGAAAGAATGATGGGACCCAGCATGACAGAAGAGCAGTGGGTATTCAAGTCACAACATGTAGGACCCACCTTGCTTCCTGCCATGATGAAATAGACTAAACCTTTGAAACTGCAAGAAAGCCCCCAGTAAGATGATTTTTTTTATTAATTAACTTATTTTTTAAACGATCTTTCCTAATTTTACATGCCTATCTCAATTCCCACTCTTTTCTTTCTTCTCTCTCCCCCCATCTTCCCCCTACCTCACCCCCCAATCCACTCCTCAGAGAGGGAGGCTTCCCATGGGAGTCAACACAGGCTGGCACATCACTCTGAGGCAGCACCAAGAACCTCTCTCCTATATTTAGGCTGAGCAAGTTATCCCTCAAAAAGAATGGGCTCCAAAAAGCCAGTTCAGTCACTAGGGATAAATCCTGGTCCCACTGCCAGGGTCTCCACAAACTAATCAAGCCACACAACTGGCACCCACATTCAGAAGGTCTAGTTTGATCTTCTGCAGGTTCCCCATTGTCAGTCCAGAGTCAGTGATCTCACACTAGTTCAGGTCAGCTGTTTCTGTGGGTGTCCCCATCAGGGCCTTGATCCCTTTGCTCATATTATTGCTCCTCCCTCTCTTTGACTGCTCTCCAGAAGCTCAGCCCAGTGCTTAGCTATGGATCTCTGTATCTGCTCCCATCAGTTGCTGGTTGAAAGTTCTATGATGACAATTAAGGTAGTCATCCATCTGATTACAGGGGAAGGCCAGTTCAGGCATCCTCTTCACAATTGCTTAGGGTCTTCGCTAGGGTCATATTTGTGGATTCCTAGGAATTTCCCTGGTGCAAGGTTTCACACTAGCCCTATGATGGTTCCTACAATCAAGATATCTCTTTCCTTGCTCTCCCTCTCTGTTCTTCCCCCATCTCAACCATCTAGTTCCCTCACGTTCTCCTCCTCCCTTCCTTTATCTTCTTCCCCTCCCCTCCCACCCTTCCTCTCCCTCCACTTCTGCCCTCCCTTCTTCCCCCATTCCACACTCCCAATTTTCTCAGGAGATCTTATTTATTTGCCCTTCCCAGAGGGATCCACATAAGTCTCTCTTAGGGACTTCTTGTTACCTGGCTTCTCTGGGGTCATGG